GACAGGAAGCAGGAAGCGCTGCCCAAGGCTGCAGGTGCGGGGAGTCAGCTCCGCTTTGCAGCTTTATCCACCCCACAGAGAAAAATCTTTAGAACCTCGTTTAGGAATCGGTCACTGCAAATTAAAATGTACTCAAAAATATACCTTTTGAGGGGATTTATCAATCTGTTTTGGAGACAACTAACAAATTTCTGGTAATGGAGAGCTTGTCTGGATTTTTTTCTTCTTGATATAATCTTTTTTTCTTCTTGATACATTTATTATTGTAACCATTGATTACATGTTTTCCATCAGCTGCCTACCCTATGTATCATGGACTCCAGCAAATACTCTTAAGAGGATTTCTGTCTCTGAGAGTAGGTAAAAGTCTGTACTACACATATCTTTATGTCTATATATATATATCCATACCTGTATATATGTCTGTAGATCTATTTGGTTTCCTGACATGAAGGCATTGCAAGTCCTGTGTGTGATAATAGATTTTTAATGTCTTGCCAGCTTCATGGTTACATGGAGAACAAACCCTTGGGTCTTCAGATCTTCATTGGGACAGCAGACGAACGGATACTTAAACCTCATGCTTTCTATCAAGTCCATCGCATTACAGGAAAAACTGTCACCACCACCAGCTATGAAAAAATCGTTGGCAACACCAAAGTTTTAGAGATCCCATTGGAACCCAAAAACAACATGAAAGCAACGTAAGCATATTTCTTTTTATTAGCAAAGTTGAGGAGGATTAAATTGGCATGTGAAGTTCTTTCTCCTGTGGAAAGGAGTCACTTAAATGAATAATGATGTCTGCTCTGGAGGGACTCCTCTTTCCAAAGCATCGGGATGATATATGAGTGTAAGACCCTTTTTACAAAAGCATGAGCAGTGGTTGCAAGCACCTGGGTTAAAGCTGCTTAAAGAGTTGCCATTCATCAGCTGACTGTGCGGGCATTTTTGCTCTTTAACGCAATTGCCGCGGTGACTATATTGTAATCATCTGTCATCTTCAAAGTCAGAATGGTTTTGTAGGGCACTAAGGAAAACAAGACTTGAATCTCAAGTCCTTACGCTGCAGTGATGCAATGAGAAGCAAGGAGCAGTAGACAGTGGAGGGAAGGTGTATGGTTCATTTTACAACATTTAATGGAATAGAAAACATCTCCCCTGAACTCAGCCAAGTGCTCTGGCCATGAAATTGCACTCTCTTGTAATAGGTTAACAGAAAAGCAAGTACAGACACATCTTTTCTGTATTACTCCTTCCAGTTTTATGGAGGCAGAGAGATGAAGTGGGCACCAGTCCGAAACTTCAGGCTTAAATGTGTGCCAGGCAGCATGAGAGTGATTGCTCTGCCGAGGGAAGAGCTGTATCTCCATCCTTCAGAGGATACTGACAAAATTGGCAGAGCAGCTATGTTTTTAAGCCCCCCTACTCCATCGCAAAATCCACATTCTTTCTTTATATATCTTTTTTCAGAAAATATACCTCATTCCTCCCTTTCCGTCAAGCCTCTCCTTCCCTCTGCACCCAAGGAAGTAAATAAAAGTCCACATCTCAAACTTAAGCAGCCAAGTGCTGAATGGAACATGACTGTCTGTTCCTAACGAGTAACCCTGGAGTAATAAACCCCTGCACACATGGAATGGCAAGGAACAGTGTGGGTGTAGGAAACAGCTTGGGGTTTATGCCTCCCAAAATATGATTTTAATTCATATCAAAAGAAGAAAAATGGTATGTCTTTAAAAATGTTATCAAAATGTATTGGCAGTGTCTGTCTAATAACAGTTCACCCTCCGAGGACTATTGCTG